ATATAAAAAATAAGGGATGCACAATATTATCAGCATGGTATCGGTATCGGCCGATATTAGCGTTAAAGTTCAATATCGGACATCGGCCATTCCATTAAAATAACTCGCAGATATAAAAGGTGCTGTTTTTGCCTGCAGCAGCGGCACAACGTTATGACGTCACATGCGCCTACCCGATCTCACGGCGGAGAGGAATATTCAAAGTGTCGGAAGTGTGGAAGTTTTATTTTTCGTTGGTGAGGATGTCGGATTCTTAAGATTTATGGACTACTTTGAGCCTCTCTACATCGTCCGCAGTCAGAGATATTTTTTCCACGTAACGTTACCCGAGTTACGAGCCGTCATTTCTGACGTCATTGAGAAGATAATAGCCGATAGCACGACTTGTCGGGTGAGTTTTACCACAGACGTTTAGACGTCGTGTAAGCCCCGTTAGCATGATTAGTCTTACAGCGCAATGGATAGACAAAACTTTGAACTTAAAAAGTCTGTCCTTCATGCACAGGAGTGCAGAGGATCCCACACTGCAGCTATAGGAACCTGGAACAAGCCTCCACAAGTGAGACAGCATCACAGGTGACTAATGCTAATAAATAACATTTAACACTTTTCATTTAATACAAGTTAAAGTGCTGCATATGGCTGTTACTGAATATAAGTCACCAGCTCTTACAGCTGTTACACAATTTTTGTAGCAAATAAGCCAAAATAAGAGAGAGGGCTATGTTCTGACAAAGGGAATATATATAAATTATCGGCATCGGTTATTGGCCAAATAAGTTTTAACATATCGGATATCGGCCAAAAATCCAATATCATGCATCCCTTATATTTTATATATATATATATATATACACACACATTCATTTTTTCTATAAGCATATTCATATATATGTAGCAATCACAGAGCCCAATACAATAACCTAGAGGCTAGCGCTAGCATGCTAGCTCCAGAAACAAACACTCACCAGTTCCCACTTTTAGAATACGGTCAGCTGAAGATTTTTTCAGACATCTAAAAGTTGAGACAGTCAGAAATGGCAACATGAGCGTTAGATAAAGGGCTTTCAATGGCTTAAAGCCTACCTGCAGCACAGTCTGGTTGTGTCACTGCACGATCTGTTCCAGGACCAGAAAAAAAAACTTGCGAGGACGCCGAGACCGGAAGCACGATCCGTACCGTGTGCCAGTGTTCTGGGCGCAGGAGAGTAGCGCCCACGATGGTCCCATTCTCTTGTATTGAAGAGGAGTTAGTGCGCATGTACAACTTTTAACTGGTTTATGGGCAAAGATTCTTGCACCCCATGGCAGAAATACGTCGATGTTTTTGAAAGAAACGACTACTCATCAACTATAAATTATTTATCTTACACAACTAAAAAAAATATATACGTATATTTTGAAATATTTTTATTAACTTTTTTTTTTTTTTAAGTCTTCAAGATAATGATTGTGTGAGGGCGCGCTCTATTGACCAGCCGCCACTGTAACACGTATCGACACATTGATCTGCCACATTTGTGCTGCATTAAATCACATAAGCCATAACTTAATTTATATTTCTACTTTTTACAAGTTTTCTTTTTAAAAAATTTAAAAAAGGTATATATAAAATATAAAAATGCACAACTGTATTCTTTCAAAGTGAGTTCTTTTATCCAAACTTTCATTTTATGTAGAGGCATAAATGAAGGACGTTTACAAGTCGTCACAAACCACCACGATGAGTTTAACCCTGAGCTGATCCTCGACTAATTTCCAGACTATTGAGCACATCTGAAAAGAATCAGCGCCCACTTAAAAAAAACATTTGTACATAAATAGGCCGCACTTGTGTAGAAGTTTCATAAAAGAAAAAGGTTTGATTTATACTTTAAAGTGGTGTTGGTTATTTAATTCTAAGACTGAAGCTGTAACCTGCACACGAATATCAAACAAGCAAAGACAACAAACAACTCGTATGCATCTCTTTATTGTCATTTTGCCATTTCAAAGATTGTAAAAGCCAAATATCGTCAGTGAGCTCACACAAAATAAAATGTGCTTTTTTCAATTTTCTTGTGTTTTCTTTGTTCCGTCTTGAAGAAAGTTTGCTTTATAATGCTGAAGTTTATTTTGGCAAAGCAGTGGCCGTCCCATTTAGTGTCAGTCGCCGATGCAGAAAACGACACGCAGCCCTGCGTGTGCATGCATGTTGTTAGTGTGTAATCGTGTGTTGTGTATTTAACGTGATCTTAACAGCTCTGCACATCAAGCAGGACGTGTTGGGTGACACCAGCCACTGTGTTGTCTTTCTAATACTGCTGGCAGGGAAAGAAAGCTCATTTTAGCAGAAAGTTCACAGTTAGATGATCCACACACACACACAGCTAGGTGAATTATCGAAAAGGCTCAGGCCTTCATCGTCGTCGTTCAGCGTTGATCCGGCTGAAGTGCAACGCTGTAAAAACATCTGACTGTAACTCAAAAATGGAGAAACCATGTCAGAAGAGCAAACCAGTTTAAAGTAACGTTGAACCAAACACGAAGGCCCGTAAACAAAACAAAAAAAACAACCAAAAAGCCCGTCTTGAATATTTCTGCGTTGAGCTTCAAGCAGTCTTTCCATGCAGCCCCTCGGGGCCGTCGGCGTTGATGCTCCAGTTCCTCATTTGACTTGAACAAAAAGAGAAACGTTTTATTTATGCTTTATGTGAAATGTCGAGGCCCGTGGAGACCCCCGCCCTGCACCCCCACACACAGGTTCCTCCAGGTTCAGACTCAAAGGTGGATTATGGAGCGTCTCGTTCAGAGTTCATCCCTGTGAAAAGAACAGAACACGAGCGTTAGAGAAGTGACGGGCGGGGAACAGTGAAAACAGTGAAGGTTCTACATGCGGAACGTTTAGTCGTGATGAAAGTCAAACGGACGGTTTGTGTCCACGTCTCGTGGACGATGCAACTAAATTAGTTCAAGAGTCATGCCTTTAAAAACCAAGCACTGCTCCTGTTTCATTATTGTTCCACAAACAGCGTTACTGGGGCCATTTTTACAAGAATTTGGAAGTACCGTATTTTCTGGCCTATAAGTCGCAGTTTTTTTGCATAATTTGCATGTCCTGCGACTTATACACAGAAGCGACATATTTATGTTTTTTTCCCATATTTATGATCCAATTTTTTCTTGAGATCTGACCGTTTTCATTCATTCTGACTGAAAATATTGAACAGTAACTTTCAGCCACTAGATGGCACTCGAGCAGTATGGCATGCCTTTGTGTCATGTAATAGGTAAAAGTGGCTATTAATGACACAATCTGCTTGCCACCATCATCCAGCTCACCTGGAGCAACCGTCAAATCAGCTTCATTTTACTGCGCCGCCCCGGAAATGCAGCTAATTTGACCACGGAAGTGCATTTATTAAGTAAAAGTTTGAGAAACTGATGAACCTTTGCTATAATTCTGAGCAAACAAATAATAGTTTTTAGCTGCTTATCTTGTGAAATTTCGAAGAAACGCACAGCGACTCGTCCCTCTGCGCACTCCTGCTTCCGCCTATCGGCTTTTGAAATGCAGCTGATTTGACCGACAAAGTGCGTTTATTAAGGAAAAGTTAGAGAGAGACACACCTTTGCTATAATTTAGAGCAAACAATTGTTTTTAAGTATTAATCTTGTTAAATTCTTGTTAAAGTCCTCCCGTGCACGCTCCCGTGGCCACCAATTGGCAGCCAATCGATTTTTGGCACAACACCGCCCCCATCTCCGGGTTGTCAGCGATGACGCAGAATAGGTGCAACGTATATGGTGAGGCAACATATTTGTGTTTTTTTCAACGTTATTAGACATACTTGGACTGATGTGACGTGTACGGCAGAAAATACGGTAGTTGTGAAAAAGATTTAAATAAAAAAAGGGAACGTGCAGCTGGTTGGTATGGTATGGAAGAAGCAAAATAATGCCAACAAGCAGCAAAACGCAGCCCTCTGTGCTCCTTTGCCTGCTCCAAGCCACACCATTTCACCTTTGCCACTGTGAGAAGGAGAGAGGGGGAGGAGGGGGAGAAGGAAGTCACTTCCACCTGGACCACTGCTTGTCTTTGTCTGTTAAAGGCACATAAATCACCCCCATCAAGGGCTTCATTTTGGTGCTGCCGTCCTCCAGCTTGTCGTACTGCTCCAGCATCTGGTTTCCTCCCGCGGGGCCGACGGGGAGGATCAGCCGACCGCCGGGCTTCAACTGGTCCAAGAGCTGAACGGGTTAAAGAGAGAGGGTCAAAAAAGGTGATCCAAGATGGCTGCCACAACTAACTGACCTCAAAATGGCTATAAATTCAGTCAATTTTTAAGATGTTGAGCTAAATTTGGTGTGGTTGTAATTGAGACTCATCCTGAAATACATATTCAGATCCATTCTGTCTGTTAGCAAAATATTTATCTTCAGGTTTTTGATCCCATCATCTTTACTGGAAATCAAGAAAAAGCTAAAAGCTCTGATCTTATGAACAGGCAGATTTTGACAGACGTTTTGCTTCCAGAAGCAACAACACTTTCATGACTTTGATGTTTCAGACTCTGTTTAAAATCAATGAAGACGTCCTGAAGTGTTCAGAGGGACTCACAGCCTGGGGGACGGAGGCAGCTGCTGCTCCAACATGGATGGCGTCATAAGGTGCCTCCTCTGGGAGGCCCATCCGCCCGTCTCCCACTGAAACACACAGCAGGAGTAAAACACATGCACGCTGCCGGACTTAACACAACGCTGACATCATCCATTAATCTGCTGCTTCTCTCTGAGCAGACCAACCTGTTGGCCCCATTTCATCCAATCATTTAGTTTATTAAATAACGTTGTTTGTGCACGTCCTTACGTCCTTTTAAAGCACGTTGGTTAGCTTATTTTATCAAAAGGGTGGATTCAATTTACTCGAGCTTTAACTTCAACATGTGAAAACGTTCTCAGACAGTAAACTGATGGTTTTAATTGGATCATTTGGGATTAATCAAGATGTTTAGTTCATTATATTTTTTTTACCAAACTGTTCAACAGATATAAGTCTGTTTTAAATGTCAAAAATTAACTCATCAAATGTAGTTTGATTGGCTTTTTCAGTGGATCTTGAGTTTGAATTACAAAAAAAGTTTTGTTTTTTCCTTCTTAAGATGCAGTAAATCTATCTCCATCTTCTACGTGGCTCCTCCACCTGCAAGGAGGGCTGTGGAGACCGAGAGCTATGTCAACCTGGCAGCATAAACAAACTAAATGCAATAAATTAATGAAATAATGAACATGGTACAACACTGATTATCAGACTGAAAGTTAAGCAAGAAGACGCATCGGTAGGCCTGTCACGATAACAAATTTTGCTGGGCAATTAATTGTCTCAGAAATTATTGCGATAAACAATAATATTGTTTGAAATTTGACAATTAGTAATTATTGTCAAATTTAAGAAGAAACGTTGGTTGCTTTTTGTGTGTAGTACCTTTTTTTGACCACTAGATGACAGTATACGACTGTCCTGAAGGATGGATCCATGTCTTTTTAAGAAAATGAGAGGGAGGCCCGTTGACGTGACATGGGCTGTCTCTCTTCGGTTCTCAAAATGGCGGACACTCTGTGTGGTTTGAGCTCTTTACCATAGCATTTTTTACACAAAGCTTTTAATAAAAAAATCAGTAAACAAGTTCTCAGCTTCTTTTTGCAGAGAAAAAACACTTTTTACATGAAGGCACAGGTTCCAACCGTGAATTTTGGAGCTTTGACAAGACAGAGGTTTATTCCCCGAGGTCGGCCTGTTAGCTTAGCTTCTTAGCTTAGCTGCTTTTAACGATCCAAAAATGTGATTATGGACGATTAAAACGGATTTTAAGGAGAAAGGGAGGGGTCAGTGAAGAGCACTGGAGCTGAGCCTTTTGTCATCAGGTGTCTTCAGTAGAAAGAGAGACATGAAGAAACGATACAGCTGATAAATGAAAATGAGTTGGATAATTTTCATTTATCATGCGACTGACTGATTTGTTGTTTATCGAGGCAGGCCTACGTATCGGCCGTCTGACCACCTGGTTCTGCTGCACTTTAATCCTGTAGAGAAGCTGAAAGTTGGTCTCTGCTTAATTATTTAGAGCTGCGGCTGACTGTCAAACAAACCGGAGCGGTTCTGTCAGTGAACAGAATTACAGTCGTTTGTTTTAGAAGTACAGCAGTCCCTCACCACTTCGCAGTTCGTTTATCGTGGACTTGCTCTATCGCGGTTTTTCAAAATAAGATTGGACATGAAACACTGGCTGATTGATGGATGAGCCGCACGATCAGCATGGAGTTTTTATTTAATTTTTACATTTTTATTATTTAGCACCTGCTGCACATTTGAGCAGCCCTTACTGCAGGTTAAGCTTCCTGCTGCAGCTGATCAGCTGTTCTCCATGCAGAGTGAAGCAGTGGGCGTGGCCAAGAACGCTTACAGGTGGCAAAGAGAGGCAGGGAGCTGAAATCATGACATTCTGTGCTCTTTTAGAGCGTTTAGTTTAGAAACATTGTACAGATCCCCCGCGATAAAGGAGGGAATACTGTAGTTCTAAAAGTTTTTAAAAAGAAAAATTAAAACTCAAACTTTCATCTATCGAGTCCTTACCTTGTAGCTTGACTCGACCTGATGTTATCAAGCTGGGGTCGTCTTTCTTCACGTTGTTTATAGAATCGTCGACCAGCTCTTTGATGTGATCAATCCCAACAACTTCCCCTTTAGGGCCTACCTGGAGCAGCACAGACGAAGGTGGCGTTCAGTTAAAACGGCGGCTTCAGACTTTCAGTTGGACGTTTTGTTACTGAATAAATGAGCGGACTGAATCACGACTCTACCAGAGGGGAACCGTTCGTGTTTACCCGTCCAGTGCGTGGCTCACCATTCGTGCAAAGCAAACGGAGAGGATCCCGCTGCCGGAGCCCACGTCCAGAGCCTTCGCTCCTTCGTACAGCTGATCGTGTAGAAGCTCCAGTGCGTAGGCGTGCTTGGACAGAGAGGGGGGTCAACAAGGAATAAAAGACATACTTTATATTTAAACTCAAATGTGTATACTTTACAAAGAAATATGCTCTGTGTGTTATGCAAACTAACAAAATGAAATAATAAATTGCACATTTTTACAGCTATTATGGCTTTAATCAGTAGAAACAGAAGGTTATGAACAGATGAATTTAAAAAGAGCTTTACAAGGTGTAGAAACGTGTAAAATTCATACCATATGAGGAGCGCTGATGGTTGCTTGATAACCTTTGGGTCAAAAAAGAAACAGGTTTGGTTAGTTTGTCCCTCAGGTTTTAAACGGGTCAATAAATCCACGAGCGGGTCGCACCTATCGACTGCGGCGAGTCCATGTAGGGGTTACACCTGGAGTAATGTGCACGGTCTGTGGCCAGCATGACTTCAAACACCTTGTCAGATTTAATAATGCCATTTTCTGAGGATGCAAAAGAGTTTGTCAGAGAGGCGCTACACAAAATTATTTAATACAATACAACATGAAAATCGATACAATTCTAGAATTGCGCTGCTCGGGGTGGCTGCATGTTGGAGCAGCTCTGTTACTTTCACTCTGAGATTTTGCTTATGGAAACTTTAATTCCTCTTTTTCTGGATGTAAATCACATTTTTTGGATGATTGTTTCCTCTGGTGTCAGATGCTGCGCAGCTTGAAGGATTTTTACTGAAACTTTTTTACTTTCGGACATTTGTTATGATGCATAATCATAAAAACAAGGTGTTTTTTTTATAACTGGGAGCAACTGATTAACATCTTAAAAGCTCAAATAATATCTCAACTACGGCCCCAAATCTCAAATGAGTTGAAAAGGAGGCGCCGTGGATGCATTCCCGTCTCCTTGCCAGCTGTGCTTGAGTGCCTGACCACAGAGATCCTGGAACTAGCAGGAAACACGGCTCGTGACAGCGGAAGGACCGGGATCATCCCCCAGCACCTGTAGGTCAGCAGGGTGCTGGGAGGAGTGGCCATCGCTCTGGGAGGAGTTCTGCCCAGCATTCGGGCGGGGACCTGCTGCCTGGAGGAACCAAGAGGCCAGCTGAGTCTGGGTGGACGGATCAGACGGCATCTGCGGCCAGTTTAGCTCTGTTGTGGCACGATGGACCTTTACAAGAGATCCTTCCTGCCTACAGCCATCAGTATATACAACATCTCTTAATGAAACGAGGATAATGAGTTACAACATTTAATTTCCCTTTAGGATAAATAACAGTATTATTGAATTGAACAATCCTGCAGCAGGAACAGCAAACGGTAAGAATGAAGTAAATTCGGGGCGTGTTGAAACAACAACAGCGAGTGGGAGAAATCATCAAAACATTACGGTTAAAACTATACACATAAATACTATTTGGCCAAGTGGATTTTCAAGTCATTGCATCACAGTGGTGATGTGTCAGACATTAGAATCGACTGTAACGTTGCACATCGTGCACATTTTTCAACTTGTTTTTCCAACAAAAAAAAAAAAACACCCACATCTTGAATCTATATTTTTTGGCATCGAACGGCCTACAGAAAGATGTCAAGTGTTTGTAGTGAGTGCTGGGATTACACATATAAACATTCAGATATAAAGTATTAAAAAAAATCAACTAAAACAAGAAATCATCAGGAGGAATCTGTTAAAACGCTGGCAAAGACCAAAAACTTCCTGCAGCATGACGATTAATCTGAATATTAACACAAAATGTTTAATATCCCTTTTTCAAAATATTTATCTGCTTCTCCCTGCTGAGCTGGGATCTCTGTGCGAGAGGTCACCGTGGACAAGTCGTCCGTCCGTCACAAGACCATTCCATAATAAAGATGTGATAAATTGTTGGCTCGTTCCAGATTTTAGCTCCTCTTTGCTCGTCCCTGCAGCACCTTGGGCCAAAAGCAGGAAAAGCCGAGGCCGGCCGGTTCTCGTTCCTCGCTCCTCGCCCTCAGAGCTGCTTCAGGAAACGCTACGCAAGCTTTAAACGAACGCCTACGACTCATTTCTGAAATTTAATTCTATTGAATTCAGTTTATTTAATTACAGTATAAACAATGGCACACTTCGAGCCGTTTCCTTCCTTCCCTTATTAATTAATTTGCAAAATTTAAACCTATTCCGGACAAAAATAGCAGCTGAAAGCCTATGCTGATTATTCGCTACGATTCGACGTATGGTACGATTTCCTGCAGCTCACGGCTGGGTTTGTGGCATAAAACAAACCAGACGTTCCAAGGCTGAAACAACTTTTACTGCCTGGGCTGAGCAGGAAGAGAAAAAACAACGAGACAGTTGAAAAATTAGCATTCACTCTGTGTACGACCTGCTTTTTGTACAAAGTCTGAGTTAAAACTCAGCAGTTTGTGTCTAAATAGACTCCTGTTCGTAGTTTAGTGCAGAATTGTATTGCTCTCATGCGGGCAGAGGGTATTAACATTAACAATGAATTAGATTTAACGTGTACTAGGACTAATTTTATTGAGAATACGTTTTTATGCAGATTTGGAAACTACTTCGTATCTAAACCGATATTTATTTTTTTGATCTTCTTACATGTAAATAAATGCAAGTGCTCAGTAATAAACTAAAAACAGTCGGATCGTAACCTTTTCCATCAAACAATCAAACTGTTGGCAAACTGCTACAGCTTGCAATCGTATACCGGACTGCAAAGAATATAAATAGACCTGATGGTTACTTAATAGTGAAAGTGGAAAGATGCCCTGCTGCTCTCTGCAGCAGAGAGAGTCCATGTCAGATACGTTTTTATAGAAAAATACACCAAGGTGGATGAAATAAGTGGTATGACTGAAATTTTTTATTAAAAATCTATCTACAGCTTCGGCTCAGTGTGTTTGCACATAACTAAAAAGTAAAAAGACCAGACAACTGAGGACCAGAGAGATAAATGATTCAGATGATTTTATCAGTGCCAAGTTAGAGGTCACAATCACTTTGTTACAGAAAAAAAAAAAAACTAATTTATATCTGTAAAACTATAAATATCAGCTTTGTAGATCCAACAAAAGAAATTGATGCAAGTTATTTCTTAGATATGCTGTGGTTTAAAAGACTAACAAATCTATCCCTCTGAAGACAACGAGATGCAGCAACAAGACGATCAATTAGACATTTGTTGTTCAGTTAATTAGAGTAACTTTTGTGCTTTTAAAATAAGTGTCAGCAGCTCTTCTTGGGCAGATTTAGTAAGAGAACGAGTCTACTGTATTTGTTTGGTTTGTAACAGTGTCGATCATAGAATATGTTTCAAAAACACACATGCGTTCAGTTTTTGTACTTTTTTAGTGTTCTTTTGATTTAAAGGTACTACTACACCCTACTGTCAGCTTTGGCCCAAAATTATTCAGTCAGCTGTTATATTATCTTCCAAAACTTAACAAACTGCAGAGTGTACAAAAACCAAACTGTTACATTAATGTGGCAAAAACAAACATTAAAACACTGCTTTGCGTTGCAGGTCGGCATCTGGTCAACCCTTGAAAATAACTTTATGCTCAATTCCAAGGGACATGGCATAATGCGTTAGCACTCAGAATGTGTGTTGTGAATGACTCCCAGCTACTACCACACCACATTTTGGCTCAATATCTTTAAATCTAACTGCCTTAAAGTCGTTTTTTGTGTTAACTAAAAGTAACCGACAATGGCAGAAATCTTAAATTAGGCTAACTCCAAAGGTTAATGATGTATATATTCAGTGAGTTTCATTGAAATCTGTCTGGTAGTTTGTGGGATATTTTGATAACAAAGCTATGACACCAGTAATTACTGTAATGCCGAAGTTTCATGCAATTTGTAGCGCTCAACACAAACGTTGAGAATGACTCTCAGCTACTACCACACCACGTTTTAGCTTAATATCTGTAAAACTGTGATGGTTCATGTTGAATAGCTGTGGCGACCTAATTGAATCGGGATGATTTCAAAAGTTACCGGTTGTAGATGTTCATTTAATGAGGACTTTCTGACAGCTTCATTAAAATTTGTTGTGGTTCATGTGATGACTTTAATCAGAAATACTGCACGACATGCCGTGCTCTGAGCATGTACTATGAATTAATCTCAGCTACTACCACACCATGTTTCAGCTTATTATGTTTAAAACTCACCGAGTTAGAGTAATTGTGTTTGTTAGATAGGACAGATTAGGTGTGAAGGCCATGATGAATTAGTAAACAAACTGTTGATCTACGTGAAATGACTAAAGACTTTAATTCATATTAGTCCACTGGTTCGTGGGATATTTTGCTAACAGGCCAGACAAGGACAAACATGACCGCCGAATGACGGTTGGAAAAGAATGCTTGACATTCAAATAATTCAGGATCAGTTTTAAATAATGCTGGCGCTCTAAGACTTTTGCACAGTAGCAACTGCCGCAGTGCTAAGGCTAACTGTCGTTTTATTTAGTTTTTTTTTATTTATTTTACCTGCAGAAAGTAGCCTTTTAAGTTCAGCTGACACCATCATTCATGTGAAAGTGCAGCAGTAGATTGGAGACGTCGGTGAACATGAGCAGTGCCACAATGCCCAAATGACGCACATACGGCTAACAAGCTAAGCTAACTTAACGCAACGCTGCCGTTTTCTACGCATTCGCGGAACAATGAAGAGGTAGTTTCTGGCTCTTTTTCTGCAACGACGGAAACGTGACAGTCCCATTAGCGTAAACGTGGTTTGTGTGGAAGAGGGTGTGGAGGGAGAGAGAGGTAACGTTGGGTCAACAACAACTAGCTAGCTAGCTAGCTAGCTAGCTAGCTAGCTAGCTAACGCTCCTGGGCTAACCTTCGCAGCCTCCATAGTTTCCCAGCGACGCGTCTAAAATTCATCGGCGCTGCAACGCGCACTCGGACTTACTGCGGAGGTTGTTAACAAGCTCTGCGTGGCTGGCTCCTCCGGATTTCCAGGCCATTATTAAGCAGACTTTACGGAGTATGTAGACAGCAGCTGTCAGTGCCGCGCCTGCGCCAACGGTTTTGCCAATGAAGCTGACAACCTCCAGAGCGGACGGCGGAGCGGCGGATACGTCACGAGACATCCAATTATTATTATTTTTCACCCCTTTTCATATACACGCACAAACACAAAACAGGTTCATTTTAGGAAACAACTCGTCTCTTCAGTTACGCATTAAACTAAATATGAACTGATAGAAAATAAAAGCCACGTTCATCTGTGTCATGCAGCGCTATTTCAGATTTGCCGCAGTAACGTAAGAGGTGGCCGCTAGGTAGCGCGAGACGCAAATTCCCTGCGAGAAAAGCTGTTGAGGCTTTTGGTCCTCCTGCGCCACCGTACTTATAAAGTAGCGGGCGCGTACACAAAGCTAAGCTAACGTCAAAAAATAATAATTTGCTCATTTTAAAGCGACTGTAGCTGTGCTCATCTACATGGAGTCTGCTAAATACGTGTCCCAAAAAGTTAGCAAGACAAGATGGCGTCCAGTTTCGTATTCATCCTTACAACAACCAGATGTTTTTGTGACTGGATCGTGGGACAACGAGGTTGGCAAGTTCGTCCAGATTCAACACAAAATCTATGTGTTTTTAATGTTTTTCTCTAATAGGTATATTTACACATTTTACAACTACTAAATAGGGAATTAAACTTTGTTATTAACCATTATGCGTTCTTTCGGCGTGCTCGTACTTCGCAAACGTGGTTTAAATTTACCACAAAGTTGCACATAATTGGTTGTGATCTCTCCATTATTTTGTTTCAGGACTAGTTTTCGACCGAGGCATTTGGTCGAAATCAGAACGGTAATACTGAGCATAGTTTCAAACATTAATACTCAGTTTGTTTGTGCAGGATAACAAGATATCCGTTTGGTCCATTGGAAATCATGGCAGTTCGGGTCAGGACGATGGATGTGAAGGAGACCCGCAGCTCATCTGTGAATACAAGCACCATGGAGATGTTCTGGACCTTCAGGTTGAACACCTAAAACAACAATGTTGTCATCAAATAATTCTCATGAGTTTAGTTTTTTGCTGTACCTGCATGCCACACATTTTTATTATTAATGTGACATGTGGGTTGTTTTGTCCATAATATCGTTTTGTTCTATCCTGATGCTGATGTTTTGTTATAGTTTTTGGACCAAGAGAGAATTGTCACAGCATCGTCAACGGGAGCAGTCACCATCTATCGTCATCACCAGAACAGTCAGGTACAGTAGGGTTCAACAGTCATGACAAGCCGCTTCAAAATACAAGATCCCTACAGCAGATTAGATGGACAAACACTTCTGATGCAGCAAAACGAGTAATCTCATAAAACACAAAGACGCCAGAGTGAAACTAAAAGCGCAAGTAATCACTAAGAAACCTAAAAAGCACTGATGCTTGTTTGCATATTTTTCTTTTTTAGACAATTTCAGTTTCTCATCAGTGGGCGAGGGCTCACCATTACCCCTCTGACAACACGCCCTGCACCGGAGTCGTGTGCAGCAGTCCTGAAATCATCACAGTCGGGGAGGACGGGAGGATAATTGTTTTCAGAGCCGACCAGGAAGGAGTGATTCGAGTCATAGGTGAGATTAAAATCCAGACTCTCTATAGTTAACTGGATGTGTGTAAAGTGTTAGTAACATGTTTTATTACTGAGCTGCTTAACTTTTCCCAGAGAATGCAGACAGCAGCACAATCCACGCTGTGACGTATCTGAGGACAACAGAGATTCTGACAGTGAACTCCATAGGGCAGTTGAAGCTGTGGGACTTGAGGCAGCAGAGCAACTCGCCCTCGCAGATCCTGTCTTTGTAAGATCTGCTTATATGTGTTTTTATTTTAGTTTTAGAATCTTTTTTTTTTTTTTTTTTTGACTGATATAGTTTCTTCCAAACAGGTCAGGAGACAGAGTTCCCTTGTATTGTGTGGACAGACATCCAAACCAGCAGCACATCGTTGCCACAGGAGGCCAGGATGGAATGCTCTGTGTCTGGGATGTGAGACAAGGCAACATGCCCTCCTCTCTTATGGAGGCCCACTCAGCTGAAAGTAAGACTTATTCTCAAATTATTTAGCTATTTAACGACAAAGCCGTCACATGTGAAGAATTCTGACTGTTTTCTGTGGTTTTCCTGGCAGTGTGGGAGGTTCACTTCCACCCCACCAACCCAGATCATCTGTTCACGTGTTCAGAGGACGGCTCCCTGCTGCACTGGGAGACGTCCTCCCATTCAGACATGCCCTCCTTTTTACAAGGCAAGTGCATTCCCTGAGATATTTGAAGTTGGACATCATTCATCTTTAATAATCCAGCTTAGCTTATGTCAGGTGCTTAATTTATTTTACTGTAAAAAAAAAAAAAAGCATTCTTGTGTTTTTTCATATATATATAATTACCCATTTTATGAAAAAGCAAAAGCTATAATTCAGCTATTGTCCAGATGTGTAATAAAACTGCTAAAAATTACATCAATGGGTTGGGGTCACTCAGAGGTCTTGTGTAGTAAACTTGCAAAAAAAACAGATCTTCAATCACAATTTCAATATTTTAATATGAGACTGAAGTCTGAGCACATGAGCGGGATCAAAACTAAATCTGCAAAAGGCCAGCTACAAGCCAAATGCAGCAAAGTATGAGTAAAAAGTATCAAAAGGTTTCTAAATGCTAAAAATAGCAAAAATCTAAACAAAAGCTAAAAGTAGCATAAGACAAAAAAATCTGAGGAAGTATGCTGAAGCAGATTTTAAACGGAACAGTGTTTCCGAAGAAACTGAAGAAATCCATATTTCTTTAAGGACAATCAAAAGATCAAAGGCTCTTTCTGAAACTAAATCCTTCAGTTAAACTGGACGACATTTACTCAGTATTATAACAACCTAAGTGTCATATTACTCTTGGTCATTGTGTTGCAGGTGGCAGGAACACCAGTTTGACCTCTCGGAGTGCGATGGCCCCCGCTGTAGGAAACCAGGCTCTCATCAGCGCCTGGCTCAGTGGGGACTCCAGTAAATGCCGTCTGGAGACGACTCACATGCTGCCCAGCCAGACGCTGTCTGTCAACAGCTTGGACGTGCTCGGACAGTGCTTGGTCTGTGGGACTGATGGGGAGGCCATTTTTGTCAACAGACAGGTCCCAGTTTAACGGAGGTGTCTGTGCACACAAAAATATTTAAATTTAGACCTTATTTTGTCGGTTTCAGGCACAAGAGAGGATTGTTGTTGTGTGTTTTTGTACAAAATACTGGATAAGAACTCTCGCTTTGACTTGCCTGGTACAGTGCTTTATTCACGAGTTACGTTTTTGTAGTGGTTAATGTTTTTTAATCATTCCAAAAAGAATTGTTCAACCTAACAAAATGTTTTGAACAGATTTAAAAATATTTAATAAAAAAACTCACAAAAATGTCTCATGTTTCACTTGTATACTACTACAACTGCCAGGGGGAGTGGTGGCGCAGAGGTTAGAGAGAGTGGGCCTGTGATCGGAGGGTCCTGGACAGACATTAAAATGTGGGTGGAAAAGGTGAAACATCCACACCTGCCTCCACTCTCATTTGCCCCACCATGGGCCCATGAGCAAGGCTCTCAACCCCCAAGCTGCTCCCCGGGCGTCCCAGATGACAGCCCACTGTCTCACGTGTGCTCACGTGTACCATGGGAAAAATGCAGATAATTAATTTCCCCATTGAGGATTAATGGAGTAGAATAAATAAGAAATATATACTTTTTTTTTACTATCATTTCAGTGATAGTGCCATTGTTATATAAATAGTTCAGATTGCTGATGTGAACTAACTAAAATGTATCAATAGTTTTGTATAATTATGCTTTTTTTTTTTTTTTAGGTAGGATAAGGCTTTTATTTTTTTAACTAGACGTAAAATGAACACCCTTAGGGAAATTCATGAAATTTATTTTTCTACTTTTCTCAGAATATTAACAACAGTGTCTTGGTCCAGAAAATATATTTTTGTCTAAACCGATTTACATAAATTCTTTCACCGGAATTTTATTGTGAAAATCCCGTGGTTTGTTTGTGTGTTAGCTTGCAGCTTAGCTTGTACTTGTCATTCAGTTATGCCAGGAATTCAACACGACTAGAAACCAACCAGCACGGCACAACAAGCGAGGCTGAAGTCATAACCGCGTCCTTCACGGATAGGAAGGTCAAAACAACTTCTTGTGGCGGTCGAAATAGAAAGAATGGCGAAGAGTGGCATCGACAGACGGCGGTGAGTCTATTTGAGCTAACTGGCTCCAGTTGTGTTCCGAGCTAGCATGCTAATGCGCAACCTGTTGTTGAATAGCAGCAAATGGATGCCTTTAACACACACAGGCCGCTTAGGTGGTGCTGCTGTTTCGTTTCGCACTGGCTGAAACCATCATCATCCGACAGTTTAATGTCGAGAAGATTAAAAAATAATAATAATTCCAAAGTTACGACTATTAGCATCGAATGTTAACGTATCTGCCGCTGGAGAATTTACGTAAAAAGTAGCGCTAAGTTAGCGTACACTGCTAACTAAGCTAAGGGGGTCTTGGTCTTATAAATAATGCTATTTACCACAAGTTATTTATAGCCATTAAAGTAATTTACACCCAAATTTGCTTTTAAATTAAATCGAATACACTGTTTTTGTGCTAAGTATGACTCTTGTATGTGACAAAAACATGTTCCTTTGGGTAAGTAGTCTGAATTACTCCTCACATTCTCATTTTGCCCGACCTGTTTGGTAACATTATTGCATGCCCTTTTGCATGACTGTCTATCTAACAAACATTTGGTATCGAATATTTCCAGCAGCAGCAAGGAGACGTGAGGTCAGACATCAGAGATCACTGCTACGCTTGGACTGGACTGGACCGGTGACAGCTTCTTCATCCCTTTCATCGTCATCATACATGCTTGTACATGAAGAGAGGGGAGAAACCCGAAGGATACAGACAGATGAGACCCAAGACGTTTCCCGCCAGCAACTACAGTGGCAACAGCCAACAAATGCTGCAGGAGATTCGGAACAGCCTGCGAAACCTGTCCAAACCCTCTGACCCGCCTAAAGTGGACGCTGGAGGTCAAGGGAAACTGGTCCCTGATGACGCGAAGCAACAAGGGCGCACCAGCAACCAGAAGCACCCCTACCAAAAGGCACTGCAGGAGATCCGCAAGTCTCTGGTGCCTTTTGAGGTGAATGGCTCATTGAGCAACGAGTCAAACATTTCTGGCCCAGACATTAACAAACAAACATGTCTGGAACCATCTTACGCTGGGTTTGACGAGGTAAGTTGTCCCACCCCCCCTTAAATACTTTTTTTTTCATGAAGAATTGTGACAGGTTCTCGTTCCGTTCATACCCGTGTAATTGAAGGTAATCACCTGGTGCACTTTGTTTAGAGCAAAATTATTTGGAAAACGTCAGGCATGCAATGTGATATAACAAGCTCGTACAGTTTACGATACAAAAGAAGTTTCCCGTCTGTCAGTTGTCTTCGGTGTGCGGGAGTGCAATATTTCAGGTATGAAGTGGCACGGTATGCAATGCAGGTTTGTTCAACTCTGCAAAAAACGTCCGAGTTGCATAAATTGATTGAAGCGTTGTTGTTTATAACCAGCATCTTTTTAATTTTTTTTAAAGTCTTCCATTTTATATAATTTTTAACTGTTACACAAAAGATTAGTTGGAAAAGGGAGATCGTTGACACAGTTGCCTTGCAAGATATTTAACATTGGACGTATTTGCAGCTCATTTGCATTTTATTCCTTTTTTCATTTCTGTAACTCTGTTTTGGTTTTGTCTCTCAAGTCGAGCAGCGGTCGCCGCGTCGCCCCGGACCACATGTTAAAGGTGAATTACCAGGACTCCATGAGGGAGCAGATGGTTCCTGCTAACTCCAACTCCTCAGGCCTGAAACCTCCAGGTACTTTAAATGTTCCACTGGGATCAGTGTAGGTTTTCTTTTTGAGTCCCATCTATTCTATCTTTTGATCCAGACTTGTATTGTTTGCAGGATTTGGGACAGCTGCTTAAAAGAAATATGTGCTTAAAACAAAGAGTATGAGTCACTGCACCATGAAAAATGGGGTTTACCTGAGTCTTTTTTTAGTGTTTACTCACACTGGTAGTGGTATTAAAATGACCAGATAAAAATGATGCATCCATTTAGTCTCAACTGCTGTTTTGACAGCTTTGTGTTTTTCAGATTTTACGCAAAAAATATATATTAAAGGAATCTCGTGAAAGCTAAAACAAGTTCATAACATGGTGTATTGCACAATCGTTTTGTTTCAAAGGGCAAAAGTATGTGTAAATCATGTCAACATTCTTCTACTTGTGATAGAAAAACTCATTAAGAGTGGAAGCTCCCTTTCTGCTCTAAACTGTTTCCCTGTATTTTGTTTCACAGCTTTGATATAAAACTTGCAAATTATTCACCATTGTATGAGCTTTCTTCAGGAATAGTAAGTGCAAGTTTATGTCACGGTACTTCGCACAACGTAGACGAAATTCAGACAAAAAGCTCCAAGAAAAAATTCACGGAGATCAATGAGATTTCAGTGGAACGTGTAAGAAAATGCAGCTCTCTCTGAAACTGAAACATCTCATTCCTACTTTACTGTAGAAACATCATTCAAGGTTTAAACGGGTCCCAGAAAGTTGTACTTTACATGTTTGAATTGGCATTTTGTAAAAATGTAAATAAAATTGATTTATAAAGCGTTTTTAAAGTTAAACATCAAAAGTGTTTCACACCAAAATGTGTGTGTGCAGGATCTTCTCACATGCAGCAGGCTGTGCTGAGGAGGCCCAGCTGGAAGGGCTCTAAGGAGTCTCTGGCTCCCCGACTCGCCCCTCTGATGGCAGAAGGAATGATGTATCGCTCCAACAGCCCCGGACCACCACCTGTCTACCCACAGGGCCACCCGGCCAACAGCCAGAGAGTGAACCCTCCGCTGCCCCCTCAGATTCGTAGTGTCACACCTCCACCAAATCGCGGCGCCATGCCTCCTGCAGCATCCTGGGACAACAACCCATCAAACAAGTGCTACCCTGGAAACATGGATTTCCTTGCGCCGCGCAATTCTTCAGTGCCTCAGGGAGCTTGGCCTGATGGGTATCCGAACCCACCCCCTCAGAATCAGCGTGGAATCAGCTCTGGGCCTGTAGGCCACCAGCCCATCATAATGCAAAGTTCCAATGGGAATAAATTTACCTTCCCCTCCACCTGGACTCAGAATGGCTCTCCTCAGCAGGACTACATGCAGGGGGGCAGCAGACAGCCCCCTCCCCCTTATCCCGTCAACCAGAGCAGCCGGCACAGTCCCACTGAGCAGCAAGCAGGAGGACCTGCGTCCTCTCCTTCTTATCTTAACGGTGGCAACATCCCTCAGTCCATGTTGGTGTCCAACCGGAACAGCCTCAACCTTGAAATGTACAACTTGGCTCTGTCGCAGCCCTGGTCCCAGACCCCCTTGGCCTCTAATCAGTCCCAATCTTCATCAGGGAACAGCAGCAACCAGGACCTGTCCCCATCCTGGCAGCACAACATGCCTGCACGCTCTAACTCCTTCAACAACCACCAGCTGAGTGGCAGAGCTGCCCATCCAGCCAGCTCCCAGCCCTCTGCCACCACCGTCACCGCCATCACGCAGGCTCCCATCCTGCAGCCCGTGAAAAGCACGCGCGTCCAGAAACCTGAACTGCTCACTGCTGTCGCTCCCACACACCCTCCATGGATGCAGCCAGTTACAGCATCTCCAGCTGCACCTGCCTACCCAGAACCCACACCTGCAGCCCCTCAAATCACCACAGAGGCACCCAGCTATCAAGGCCCCCCTCCACCGTACCCCAAACATCTTCTCCAGCAGCAGGCAGCACCTTCCCCCCCAGCATATGAAGCTGCAACCGCCAGTAAACACGGCACAGGTAGAGAGGAGGCTGCTGAGGAGGAAACCAGCAGCAGTGGTGACACCTCCAGAGAGAAGGCATCCGAAGGCCCTGAAAGCACCGCAGCAGCGGAGAAGGAGAGGAAACAAATCACAACATCGCCCGTTCCTGTTCGCCGGAACAAGAAGGAGCATAGAGGGGAGTCTGGGAGGGTCAATTTGTACTCCCCTCAGGCCTTCAAGTTCTTCATGGAGCAACATGTAGAGAACATCCTGAAGAACCATCAGCAGAGGATTCGGAGGAGGAAGCAGCTGGAGTGTGAGATGCAGAGGGTGAGAGCACCAAAGAACTTTACTGTCTGTTTTCTTCCACTCTTTACTATTTTCTGACCTTTTTACTGTCCTGGATTATCTATGATCTCTTTATGGTCTTTTATTTTTTCCTCAGCTGTTCTTTCTCTTTCTCTTTTTCACTGCTGTCACTAAAAGCTGCCCTAAAAGGTAAAAGTATCTGTCCAGTGACACAGAACTGTCCACAAACACACAAGTTATTCAAGTAAGCTGCTGTTGTGTTGAATATTTGTATTTTTACTGCATCGGATGAAAGCATGCTTTAAAAAAACGCATGCCGCGCCATCTCACTGTTACGCAGCTTGAACATTTTTGTTTTGGGATAAAAAGGTTAAAAACGCTTCAAAACGAGATTTTTGTTGTGGCTTCTTTCATCTCCATCATTGCTTCCATCATTTTTCTTGTCTTTTTCTCTACAGTGGCGCAATAAGGCCACGCAGAAGGAAAATAATTGAGAATTTTTTGTTAAGTTACAGTTAATATCTAGGTTAAAGTGTAAATCTTACTGAAATACAAACATTTGTAAAAAAAAAGAAAAAAGTTGCCTTTTGGCTGTTTTGTTTCTAATGTAGCTGCTCATAGTCTGAGTGCTACGGGTGCACTTCTACTGGGTTTACTGCATGTAATATTATTACTCCCCCTGCAGCAGAACTCACATAACTTGTTTTAATCCTTCACAGTAAAAGCAGCTAAGCAAATTTCAAACAATATTATCGTTTATCGCAATAATTTCTGAGTCAATTAATCGCCCAGCAACATTTGTTATCGTGACATGCGACTCTTTGAGACTCTTATTGTGAAGGACTGTAACGATTTCTGTGCGTTCCTCTGCAGTGAGAGGAATAAACCACAACTAAAATACGGAGTTGTTTTGTAGTTAATCCAGAAGGAGTGCACCCACAAACCCTCACACACAGTCATCATAACCAACGAAAGGAAAACAGTCGGGTTCAGGAGTTCACCTCTAAATCCAGTTTTGAAAGATGATTTTTATTCCATCAACGTTTTCTAATAATATTTACATTTTTATCTCAAAACTTTAAAAAAATAATTTAAGAATGAATTGTTTTATTGTCTGCGTGGCCCTAACACTGTCGTACCAGTCAAAGAAGCTAAGTATTTATCTTTGATGTGGCTCGGAGGTAACTTTTGATTCTCGTCGCTGCTCCCAGGTGGGTCTGTCCTCTGAGGCCCAGGAGCAGATGCGTATGATGCTCTGTCAGAAGGAATCCAACTACATCCGTCTAAAGCGTGCCAAAATGGAGAAGTCCATGTTCAAACGGATCAAAACCCTCGGCATCGGAGCCTTCGGCGAGGTGTGCTTGGCAAGAAAAGAGGACACGGGATCGCTGTACGCCATGAAGACGCTCCGCAAGAAGGACGTGCTGCTGAGGAACCAGGTCGCTCACGTGAAGGCTGAGAGGGACATCCTGGCTGAGGCAGACAACGAGTGGGTGGTCCGTCTTTACTACTCCTTCCAAGACAAGGACAACTTGTACTTCGTCATGGAGTACATCCCCGGGGGGGACATGATGAGCCTTCTCATCCGGCTCGGGATCTTTAAAGAAGAGCTGGCCCAGTTCTACATCGCAGAGCTCACCTGCGCTGTAGAGAGCGTCCACAAGATGGGCTTCATCCACCGAGACATCAAGCCCGACAACATTCTCATAGATCGAGACGGACACATAAAGCTGACGGACTTCGGTCTCTGCACCGGTTTCCGCTGGACCCACGACTCCAAGTATTACCAGAGTGGTGAGTGTTCAAGATATCGTCTGTCTTCAGCAGTGGTCATCTGTCTAAAGAAACGTATCCATAGTAAAGGATTATATCAATTTAAATTCTCTTTGAGACAGCCATGCTGGTTTTTAACTTGCTAGCGTCTTTTCAGGCCCGTAGCTTCCTGTGAGCTGACGGCTTCTCTCTGCAGAGAACTGGAATTTACAGCAAATAGTGGAAAAGTTGCGTCATCTAAAATGAATTAACGCTTTTTTTTTTTTTTTTTTAAAGTGCTCCGCTTAAAATAAATGACTGTAAAAGCTAGAGAAGAGGCACCGCCTTGAAACAAATTCCCATGAAAGCTGTGCCTTTTACTTTAAATGCTAGGAAAAGTGTCCTGTAATGTACTAAAACAAATGGCTGTAAATACAAGTAAAGAAGGTTTGGCTGGTGGAAAAGTGCAGCTACGTTCACATTGACGTGCAAAAATTATACATGAATGAAATTTAGTTTGAGTCAAAAATAGAAAACTGATATATAGGAGTACCGTATTTTCCAGCGTATAAGTCGCACTTATTATGCGTCATCGCTGACCCGTCGGGTTTATTGTATATGAACGGCTTCATTTTGCCTGGGCGGTGCAGTTGGAGCTGCTAGCTCCTCAGGGTTCCTCCACCTGCACCAGCTGAGTGAAGCGAGCGCGTGGGAGGACTCGCTAATGCAGTTCTTCGAAATTTAAAACGTCAGTCAAAAATTGCCTTATGAGTACGGAAAAAAAAACATATAAGTTGCTTTAATGTATAAGTCGCAGGACTATGGACAAAAACTGACTTATACACCAGAAAATACTTCGACTAGATCACGTGTCAGGATCCAACTGAAGCTTCTGAAGAAGATCTTCACTATTTCAGATGTTCATATGTTTACACGTCTTTCATCTGGAGTTGGACTCGGGTCACACTGAGTTTAAAGGTTAAAGGACTGACATTAGGATACAAAAAGACTGAAACCTCATTTATGAATCTAAAAATACTAGACTCAGTCACTGTTCTTATTTAGTTCATATTTAAAAACAGCTTGTTTGTGCGTTGTTCGTTTACATCCTGTAAAACGTTCAGCCTCGTCGGTAAAGGTCTGCTGGTGTTCCTGCAGGGGATCACGTGAGGCAGGACAGCATGGACTTCAGTAAGGAGTGGGAGGACCAGGCGAACTGCCGCTGCTCCGAGCGTCTCAAGCCTCTGGAGAGGAGGAAGGCCCGGCAGCACCAGCGCTGTCTGGCCCACTCGCTGGTGGGGACGCCCAACTACATCGCACCGGAAGTGCTGCTCAGAACAGGTGCAGTTCCTGTGAATTTTATTCTTTCTGTGGATAATTTGTTCATTTCACATTTTTCGTCCACTTTCTTGTTAAGAAAACTGAGCAACGCAGACATTTTGAAAAGACAAAGAAAAGCAAATCCCCCCCTGAGTGGAGTCTGTTCTCCCCCGCAGGATACACCCAGCTCTGTGACTGGTGGAGCGTGGGCGTCATCTTGTACGAGATGGTTGTTGGACAGCCTCCCTTCTTGGCGAACACGCCTCTGGAGACGCAGCTGAAGGTACGAGGCGCCTGCTGTGAAATGCCGTACGTCCAGACGTGGTTGTTTCTTGAAGCTGTGTCTTACCATTGTTAAAACCAGGTGATTAACTGGAAGAGCGCGCTGCACGTTCCCCCACAAGCTAAGCTCAGCCCCGAGGCGTCGGACCTGATCGTCAAACTGTGCCGCGGCCCCGAGGATCGCCTGGGTAAGAACGAAGACGAAATCAAAGCCCACCCTTTTTTCAGAAGCATCGACTTCTCCAGCGACCTGCGGCAGCAGGCGGCGCCCTACGTCCCCACCATCGCCCACTCCACCGACACCTCCAACTTCGACCCCGTGGACCCAGATAAACTGCGGAGCAGCGACGGCAACCACAACGACACCCTGAACGGTTGGTTCCGCAACGGGAAGCACCCCGAGCACGCCTTCTACGAGTTCACCTTCCGACGCTTCTTCGACGACAACGGCCACCCGTACAGCTGCCCCAAACCCATAGACTACGAGAGCTACAGCGAGGACGAGGCGGAGAGCGGCGCGCCGGAGGCAGACAGCCGCTCTGCTAAACCGGGCCAAGACCTGGTCTACGTGTAGCTCCTGACGCCAGCTGAGCTGCCTGTACATACGTTTGTAATGGGGGGAATCCAACGATAAAGCATTTGAAACTTAAAACCAGTGGTTCCCAACCGTGGTCCTTGAGGAACGCCGCCCTGCATGTTTCACTTGCTTCCCTGTTTTGACGCTCCCGATTTGAATGAATGGGTGATTAATTGACTTGTGCAGAACTTGAAGTCACTAAATCACTGAATCTGGAGCAGGAGGCAACTGAAACATGCAGGACGGTGTTCCTCAGGGACCACGGTTGGGAACCACTGCCTTATTAATTAAACATAGGAGAATTTTTTTTTTTTGTAGGAGCACTCAGAACGTTGCAGCATAAGATTTACACATTTACTGTGCAAGAAGACTCGACTAAAGCTCGAAACATGAAACTGACCTGGGTTGGTGTGAGACGGAGACGGCTGGTCGATCTTTTCCAGGGGAGCACGATTAACGGCGTTCTTAACGGATTCAACTCACAGATCATCCTGTTTAAAAGTGGATTAAAACACAAAGGAAATCTGCTTTTTTCTTATTGTTAATCAGGTCCTAACTGTCCACTTTAATATTTTAGGGGACAGTTTGTCCCAACTGTCCCCGTCAAAACACCACTTTAATGTTTGCACGTTTCAAAGTGGTGGGAAGTGAAGTTTCACCAGCTGTTTCCTGTCGTCAAGCTAATCGGTCTTTTGATCCATTTGAGTCTTTTTATTTTATTTTATGTGTTGCGGTGCAGTGTATGACGCGTGCTGCCTGAACGTCTCCAAAATAAAAGAAAACCCGACAACTTATCGCAAACCCCCATTAAGCATTAATTTATTTAAATAAACCGGTGACGCTAGTGTAGATGTAGTTTTCGAATTTGTAAAAATATAATTTATATTTTCGCGTTTTGCAACGAGGTTCTAGTAATGTAGCGGATAGATAAATGCTCTAATTGTTCATTATTTTGACTTCTTACACGACTTATTCACCAAATGTTTAAAGGGTTAATAATCAGGCTGGCATCTTAAATGAGTAGCACTAGTTGATTGAACTACAGTAGATTTTTATTTTTCTAATTTATAATGTATTTATAAATTAAGTTGTACACAGTGGATGTAAATATTTTCTGTGCTTTGACTTTTTCCTTCCTCTGGGCAGGTCCTCGTCCACTGCTGCTCCTTTCTGTCAATAAAAACTTTATTTTTGGCACTAATTTACAAAACTGATTAGATTTCAAATTGATCATTGCACCTAATTATTATTTTTTTTTTTTCTGTGTAAGAAAGATCTGAATGTAGTTCTTGTGGATTTAATGGTGACCACTGATATTCTGCACTGGTTTTGTGTTTTAATTGAGATAAATTTTATTTTTCTGTACCTTGTTGTTCTGAGAGGTTTGGGAAGAAGGGTGACAAATAAAGAATACGAACTAAACTTACCTGACGGCTTCTGGACTTTTATTAAAGCTAAGCTCCTGAATCAGTTCAGCTCCAATGCTGAATGAGTTTAGGAATAAAGAGAAAGTTTAAATCAATGTATCTAAGCTACTTTAATAAAACCTCAATGTGCCATTATATTTATGTAATTTAAGGATAACATCCCCATCTGGTCCAGATGTTTTCTGTCTTAAAGTTCGTCTTGTTCTGTTACAGACTGGTAGAGCCTAACAAGACGTTAAAGACAAAGTCTCAGAAGGTTTTTTTTAATAAATCAGTTTATCAACTAAACTTAAAACACATAAAAGCAGCTGGTCGTTGAGCTGCTGCAGGTTTCAAATCTTATTTTACGGTTTGTTTTCACTGAACAATAAAGATCTAGTTCATAAACATGAGACTAAACTAGTGTCTCCAAGTTACGAGATAATCCTCAGGAATGAGTTCCTTTTAAGTCAAACTGACTCGTATTCATGCCAAGTTATAATTTTAGAGATGCTAAATTGTTTTAGAGATGGCTAGTCATTGTTTGAGATGCCAAGTCATCATTTTACAGACAAGTCGTTTTAGAGATCCAAGTACTCATTTTAGAGGCCACCTCAGTTTTACAGATGCCAAGTCATTGTTTTTGAGATGCCAAGTCATCATTTTACAGATGCCAAGTCATTGTTTTACAGATGCCAAGTCATCGTTTTACAGATGCCAAGTCATCATTTTATAGACAAGTCATTTTAGAGATCCAAGTCATCATTTTAGAGGCCACCTCAGTTTTACAGATGCCAAGTCATTGTTTTTGAGATGCCAAGTCATCATTTTACAGATGCCAAGTCATTGTTTTACAGATGCCAAGTCATCGTTTTAGAGATACCAAGTCATCATTTTACAGACAAGTCATTTTAGAGATCCAAGTCATCATTTTAGAGGCCAACTCAGTTTTACGGATACCAAGTCATTGTTTTTGAGACACCAAGTCATTGTTTTACAGAAGCCAAGTCATCGTTTGAGATGCCAAGTCATTGTTTTAAAGTGCTTGTTGTCATCATTGTATGTTCCCATTCAAAGACGAAATTGTCTCTCTGCATTTAACCATCACACCGGGATACACCCAGGTGGTGCAGTGGGCAGCTATGCAAGCTGAGCAATTTGGGATTGGGTGTCCTCAGAGGCACCACGAGATGTGCAATGATCGAACAGGAAGGAAGCAGTGTGTTTCATGCGTTCCTTAAATTACCTGCACAGGTGTGTCTCCAATTAACTCATGTTCTCAGTAAACCTTTCAAATGTCCCAAACTGTTTAAAGACAAAGTAATCTTAGTGTATTTAAACTTTTGACTTTGAAGAAAGTAATAAAAATTGCCTTAAAAAAAATTCTCACTCATTATTCTGGCATTTAGAAAAAATGTTGGTAATTCTAAACCTTAAACAGGAAAAGTTTATTCTGGTTTCACGACAGTGTGAAAAAAAAAAGTGTCTTTTAAATAGTGTATGTAAACTTCTGGTTTCAACTGTATCAAGTCGTCGTTTTAGAGACGTCAAGTCATTTAGACATCAAGTCATTGTTTTAGACACGCCATGTTTTAGATACCAAGTCATCGTTTTAAAGGCCAACTCAGTTTTAGAGTCGCCAAGTCATTTGTTTTAGAGATGCCAAGTCAATGTTTTAAAGACGCCAAGTCATTGTTTTAGAGGCGCCAAGTCGCTGGTTTAAAGACGCCAAGTCGCTGTTTTAAAGACGCCAAGTTAATGTTTTAGAAACGCCAAGTCACTGTTTGAGACGCCAAGTCACAGTTTAAAACAATGACTTGGCGTTTCTAAGAGATGCCAAATCAGTTTTAGAGACGCCAAATCCCTGTTTTAAAGACGCCATGTCAATGTTATAGAGACGCCAAGTCAGTTTAAGCGATGCAAAGTCACTGTTTTAGAAACGCCAAGTCATTGTTTTAGAGACGCCAAGTCATTGTTTTAGAGATG